CGAACTATCTCCCGAATATAAATCTCTGCCAGCCGCTCTGAAGAATAAGTAGTACAAACCGGAATGAAGTGCGCGGACTTGGTCAGCCTGTCTACAATCACCCAAATAGCATCAAATTTCTTCAGAGTACGTGGGAGTCCGGTAACAAAATCCATAGTGATCCTCTCCTACTTCCACTCAGGAATAACCATCTGCTGATGTAAGCCACCCGGTCTCTGATGCTCATATTTCACTTGCTGACAATTAAGACACCAGGCTACATACTCCACAATATCTCTCTTCATCCTCCGCCACCAATAGTGCTGTCTAAGATCCTGATACATCTTCGCGGCACCCGGATGAATGGAATACCGCGAGCTATGGGCCTCCTCCAATATCAACTCCCGAAGCCCATCCACGTTTGGCACGCAAACTCCGGCCCTGCATCCNGATACTCCCGGATAACGCTGCTCAGCTAACACGAGTCCTCACTCACCCTGTGGTGTACCAGAATCTGCACACAAGGTGCAGAGAGTATTGTGAGTACTTCCAACTCAGAAAGTAATAAATATAAATAAAGTCTGAGGATAAGAAATCCTAAATAAACACAAAGTAAAGCTATTAATACCATTAAACAACAATAAGTTGGAATATACATCACAACAGATGAAGAAATAAATAACAGTTAAATATGCAATGCAACACATAAACCGGTACCTCCAGTACCCCGCTGCGGCCGTGCAGCCCGCTCCATTTATTTAACGTCGACGGCGCTCACTGGGGGTGTGCAGACTCCGGGAGGGGCCCCTTATGGCCCAAGTGCAATAATAAGCCATCTCGTAGCATAGAACAGACCCTTGGCCTCATATCAATATCAGTATTAAACCACTGCGGCGCGCAGCCCGATCCCATACTCAGTCCAAAAATCACACAACAGTATAAAAATATTCAGCTTAAACTTCATTAAAAATATTGCTTAAGTTCCAAGTTTTGAGAAAAGGTGGCTGAGCTTGCAAAACAGTATTAAATACTAGGACTGAGTTTAATGTTTATGAATATGGTAAGAAATCATTAAAACAATCCCTGAAGGATTCAAGCAGTTGGCACAAGGCCCAATGATAACAATTTAATCCATTTTTATAAGGATATCACGAAACTACAAACAAATAGGTAGTAATTTTTATTAAGCGGGACGGACCAAGTCACAATCCCCGACGGTGCTCTACCCCACGCCCGTTATCCGGCGTGCAAGTCACCTCACATAGCACTACGTTGTGCAAATTCGGGGTTTCAAACCCTCAACACAACATTTACATTTATTACTAACCTCAAGCCGGCCAAAGTCCTAGCTTGCTATGCCCTTGCCTTTCGAATTCACCTCTTCGCGCGTCGAATCTGACCAAAACCACAACGAATACGTCACAATATGCTAAGGGAATATAACCCAATCGAAAAGACTCGAAAAACATCGAAAATCACGAAGTTGGCAAAACCCGAGCCCCGGGCCCACTTCTCGAAAAATTATAAATTTTACATCACCGGATTCCTTATCTCGCCGCGAGTCTATACATATAAAGAACACCAAAATCGGAGTCCAAATGACCCCTCAAATTCCCATTTTTGTTCTCTTAGGTTTCAAGCCCTAAACCACCATTTTTGACCTTAAATCCTTGAGTTTTCAGTCTAATTTCATGTGTTTGCACCATAAAATCGTGTTTTTGGTTTAGAAATTCTTACCTCAATGAAGTCCCTTGATTCCTCTCCTCCAACTCGCCCAAATTCTCCAAGTCCGAAGTGAAAATATGAAACCCTTTCAAAAATTCGCGAAGGGAAATAAAAACTATTCTGACCAGTTATTTCCGCATCTGCGGCTCCATGGCCGCATCTGCGGCTCCCGCTTTTGCGGTCAATGCACCGCTTCTGCGGACATATCCGCTTCTGCGGTTTAACATCCGCTCCTGCGCCTCCCGCTTCTGCGGACAAATTAACGCATCTGCGGATCCCCATAAGAGCTCAAATACCGCATCTGCGGTCCTCCTGTCGCATCTGCGACTCCGCAGATGCGGTCACCAATTCCGCACCTGCGGTCCCTGCCGCTTCTGCGTCTCTCCTCTCGCTTCTGCGGTACCGCTTCTGCGGTCCCAATTCCGCAGAAGCGAAAATACCAGAAGCAGCACAGGTTCTGCAATCTCTTAAGTTCAAAACTTCCCGTTAGCCATCCGAAATCACCCCGAGGCCCTCGGGACCTCAACCAAAAATACAAGCATGATCCAATACCTTATTCAAACTTGTTCCAATCATTAAAACACCTCAAACAACACTAAAACCATCATTTCTCATCGAATTCAAGCCTAAGTTCTTCTAAAACTTCCGAAACACGCATTCGATCAGAAACCCAACCAAAACACCTCCGAATGACCTAAAATTTTGCACACACATCCAACATCACCTAACGAAGCTACAGCAACTCTCGGAATCTCATTCCGACCCTCGGATCAAAATCTCATCTACCAACCGGAATTCGCCAAAATACTAACTTCGCCAATTCAAGCCTAATTATACACCGAACCTCCAAAATCAATTCCGATCGCACTCCTAAGTCACAAATCATCCCCCGAAGCTATCCAAATCATCGGAATTCAAATCCGAGCCCTATAACACAAAGTCAACATCCGGTTGACTTTTCCAACTTAAGCCTTCTTAAAAGAGACTAAGTGTCTTATTTCTTATCAAAACCATTCCAAACCAACTCTAACACATCAAATACTGATAATGAAACATGAAGAAGCATAACATGGGGGAAACGGGGCGGTAATTCACGTGACGACGGGTCGGGTCGTCACAAGTAATGCCCTTGATACTTCTAGAAGGTGTTTATGTTTCCTCTCAACCACTCCATTTTGTTGTGGAGTGTGAGGAATGGAGGTTTGGTGTAAAATGCCATTATCAGAGAAGAAAGTTTTACATTCAGAACTTCCTCCTAATTCAAAGCATTGTCAGACCGAAAAATTTGAACATTAAAATGGAAGTGAACTTTAACCATGGAAACAAAAGCCTTTAAGACAGGAAGGGCATTACTTTTGCAGGTTAGTAAATGAGTCCAAGTTACTCTAGAAAAATCATCAACTAGAGTAATGAAATATCTGAAACCATTGTAAGTTCTTGTGTGGTATGGCCCCCATATATCAATATGTACTAAATGAAAAGGAACAGTAGAATGAATAGAACTATCATAAAATGGCAACCTTTCTTGTCTAGCCATGGGACATACAGAACAAAGGAATGGTTGTGTAGATGAAAGTTTTCCAGATAAAAAAGAAATAGTTTTCATCTTATTGAAGGGCATGTGACCTAGTCGTTGATGCTAAAAGAGATCATTTTTATTTCCAACATTTGAACCATTACATGGTACAGCAAGTACAGTAGGATTTGTATAAGGATCATGATTAGCATGAGAAGATGTCACATGTTCAGAACAAAGAGAAGTACAAACATGAGCAACATTTGAAGTATGAGGAACATTTAGACTAAGGTAAGGAACAGTAGGACAGACTGAAGTAGATGAGTTTTCTGGGTGCAAGAAGTACAATCCTTTGGCAGCTTTACCAATTTCCAATGGCCTCTTCAGAGAAGGGGCCTGTAGAAAACAAGCAAATTGGTGAGAATTGCAAAACAATCAAGTTGGACAATCAATTTGTGAATAGATATCAAATTTAAATGAAATGAAGGTACAAGAAGTACATTGTGTAGAGTTATGTCATGTCTTAAGCGTAAAGATCCAGTAGATATAACCTTTACTTTGTAACCATTAGGGAGAGTAATCAGGAAAGGAACAGATAAAGGTTTGAGGTTGTGAAGAAAATGTTTGTGTGGTGTCATGTGATTAGTTGCCCCAGAGTCTAGAATCCAAGAATTTACATCTACTTTTGATATTCCACAAACATGAAAATCAGTACTACTAACAACAAAACAGAACACACCTGCAAAGCTAGCAAATGCAGCATTTTCACCAAGAGAAGCATCAGGAGTGAATTCAGGAGCAGAATACCCAGGTGTATGTTGAGGAGGTGTAACATGTGTCTTGTGGAGTAGGCTCAGAAGATGATCATATTGCTCTTTAGTGAAACCATGAGGAGCAGAACTTTGATCAGCATAATCTGGAGTAAATATAGAATTCTGAACACAAGAGGCTGAACCCTTTCTATTCTTGGTGAACTTAAATTCAGGAGGGAAACCATGAAGTTTGTAGCACTTGTCAATAGTGTGACCCTGCTTCTTACAGTACTTACAGAAAACAGAGGATGAGGGTTGCTTCTTTGAATCAAACTGAACCCTTTGAGAGAATGACCTGTTCTTGAAACTCTGTCCAGCAGAAGCAGAAAATGAAGCTGAATCATTTGAGAAATTTGGGATGTGATTTGTGCTTTCCTTCTGATGTCCATCATGCTGGAGCATGGAATATGCTTTGCTTATGGAAGGATAGGGAGACATCATCATAATGTTGGTTTTACATGAAGAATATGTGTCATTTAACCCACTAAGGAACTGAAACAATTGCTGATCTTCTAAGAGTTTAGGTAGAGCCCCACAGGTACATGTTGGACCCACATAAGCAGCATTGAGTTCATCCCATAACCCTTTCATCCTAGTATAGTATGTTGCTATGTTTGAAGATCCTTGGGTAGTAGCACTAATTTCTCTCTGAATCTGAATGTATTTTGACCCATTGGATTGACCAAACCTTTCATTTATGTCTTTCCAAATGTCTTTAGCAGTATTGAATCCTATAAGACTGATTGAAATCTCTCTAGTCAAAGAATTTTTCATCCACGCAATGAGCATGTCATTGCACCTCTCCCAAGCAGAATAATAAGAAGAATTTGGTTCTGGTTGGGGATTTCTTCCTGTTATTACCCCGAGTTTATTTTTGGCAGAAAGAGCAACTAGCATATTCTTTCGCCATACTACAAAACCACGACCATCGAATGGAGGATATACTAGGGGAGTATTAGGGTTATCTGATGGATGAACGTAAAAAGGATGTGAAGGATCAACGGAAAAAATGGTGAAACCTTCGGTGTTCTGAGTAATCGGAACACTAGTAGACGACAAACCAGTGACCGTGATTCAATTCTATAAAACTATGTCTAACTAATTTCACTTCGCACAAATTTCTGAAAAAATCAGAATAGATTCTAGAAACAATTAGAACAGAAGAAATTGTACCGTCCTTTTGCTAAACACATGAGGTCGATCTGGATTTGAATCGTCCTAAGCACACGTACAAGAAGAAGCAGCTTGGACGGAGATGAAATCGAAAAAGCCCTAATTTTCCGGCGAACGAGACATCGTGTAAATCCTCAGAGAAAACTGGTGAGGGTAACATCGATCGAAAGCTGAGATCATGAGGAAGCTAAATCCTTGCTATGATACCATGTTATAATGAACGAATCTCACCATTTGAGGATGATTGGAGATGAAATGTAGAACATTTCTAACTGAAGAGAGAGAGAGAGAGAGAGAGAGAGAGAAACGTATTTCTTATTTTTTGTTCAATATCTCCTTTTTCTGTATACAAGTGCAGACTATATCAAAATTAACAAAAGAACAAAAAATACCCAATACTATTACAAACAAAATGTATCTAACTATATTTGGGCCTTGCTTAGTTGGGCCTCCGTCTGTGATTGGGCTGCCATAGTAGTGTCCATGTTTTCACACTGGGAAGGAGGGATATTGTAATTGCTTGGCGAGGAAATATTCAGACACTGGAGTGGGTTAATGACCTTGAATTTCTACTTATCCCAGGACCTAAAGTATTTGGTGATGGGGGTTTACTTCCTTTGTTTAAGCCATTGGTGCATCATGGCTTCTACAATATTTATACAACAGAAAATCCACGTTCAAAGTTTAATCAGTATAGTGTCCGAGATCAGGTATATTTTGATTTTGTTAACTTAAAATATACGTCTAAGCCACAGTTAGATTGTTCTCATTAACCCTTGAACTGGTATTTTTACGGTACTAGTAGCATGTTACTTGCCTATTTTCTAAATTACTAATATGACTTCTTATGCACGAGTACTTATGTATAGCTATCTTTTCTGTAAGTTAGTGTAAGGATTTTTTTTTACTCTATCACCGTAGAAGTTTCAACTGTTTCTTTTTCATTGACACTTTAGATGATGCTATTTATAAAAAAGAAAAAAAGTCTGTCTCTTTGTTATTGTTTAGCTTACGCTCAACGTCCGACAACTAAATAATTTTTTTAAAGAAGAATAGATAGGTAAAAAAATACTCCATGTTGAAATCAAGAGTTATTCTTTTTTTATCTATAGAAGTTGAAGCCTATTAATTAATGTCAAGCCTAATAACATTTTCCGTGCTTCTTTCTATCTTAATATTGAGTCGGTGAAACTAAAGAGTTAAATTTAAATCTTGTTTATTTCAGGTTCTTGAAGAAGTGAAAAGACTGGTTGAGGAATATAAGAATGAAGAGGTGAGCATAACAGTAACCGGCCATAGCCTAGGTGCATCACTTGCAACCCTAAATGCAGTGGACATAGCTTTCAATGGAATCAACAAAACAAGCAGTGGCAAGGAGTTTCCAGTGACAGGTTTTGTATTCGCAAGTCCTAAAGTTGGGGATCTCAATTTTCATAAGGCCTTTTCCAAACTGAAAAACCTTCATATCTTGAGAATTCATAACTTATTGGATATTGTTCCAAAATACCAACCGCTTGGCTATATAGATGTAGGAGAGGAACTAATAATTGACACCACAAAATCCCCATATTTAAAGCTTCCTGGAGATGTGCTCACTTGGCATAATTTGGAGTGTTATATGCATGGAGTGTTGTATGCATGGAGTTGCAGGGTAAATATAGTATATTTTGTGGTATTGATATATGCTTCATCAGAAAACTGTGAAACATACATTTTAATTTCTTCAAGTATCGCTTTGACTCCATTTTAATTTCAGGAAGCCTATCAGCAACGTTTTGAGGAATGGCGTCAAAGTCAACCCGATTCCGAGGATGGTAGCTCAACCCAAGTGTCACTCAATGATGTAGCTTCAATATGGACGCAGGTGGTTGGTGGCGCAAAGAAAGGTAGAACCTACGGTCTTGGATCACAATATTCTGTAGGTCGTTCTACGACATTGTTGTCCGGTGATGCGAGTTATTCGCAATATCACGAAGAGGTGGAAGAATTACGAAAAGAAGTTGAAGAGTTGAAGGAGGAACGGAAAGAAGATCGCGCAAATTTTAACAAATTGCAGAGTCTAGTGGAGAAATTTATGAGCGGACGTCCATTTGGTCCTTCGAATGGCGAGGATGGCGGGGATAATGAGCTTTAGTTTGTTATGGTTATTGATGTTTGAGACATTATTATTTGTTGTAGTTGGATGTTTAGACTTGGTAATATTTACACTTGACTATGATTGTAATATTTTAGACTAGATTGAATGGTGCCACAATGTTTAACTCTTTTTGGATGTTTTAGTTACAAATATTTATGTTTTGCGTTTTATGGATTTGATTAGTTGCAATGGTGGATTTTTTTTTATGTAAAGTTCCCCAGACAGAGGTCTGGGTGTTGTATTGCAAAAAGAGATCAATAAGGGGGGTTGTACCTTACCTCAGAACCAAATACAACATGGTGATTCCTATCACCCAAAAAGGACAGTAGCTTATTTACGACTCTACTGCCATACCTATATATACATCATATTCAACTGACAAAAAAATTGTTCTTCTCATATTTTGTTCTAATACTAGGCATTTGCCACTTATCCATAATGAAGGCGCCTTTAGCTTCTTTTGGGAGTTGTTCGAAGGCTTGGCAGATCAAATTTGAGCCTGAGAAGGATGCTGTTTTCGCTAACGCATCACCAACCTGGTTGCTTTCTCTATAACAGTGTTGAACTGTTGCATTTGTATGTTGGAGCAGACTTGTAATTCTCTCCACCACTATCTTTAGCTTCATGTTCTTGCTTCCCTCTTGATTGACCATTGTTACAATGATATTTGAGTCAAGTTCGAGAACAAAATTAGTGAAACCTAACTGGTTACACCATTTTCCTCCGAACTCAGCAGCTCGTGCTTCAGCCATCTTATGACTGTCACAGTCAATTGACATTGCGAATGCCATGATACAATTTCCTTCCTCGTCTCTGATGATTCCTCCTATACCAGCTTTTCCGTTTTCCTTGATGTAACTTCCATCTGTGTTAATTTTGACCTTACCATGGGGCGGAGGATGCAACTGAACTTGCTTCCATGTTTGGACAGGTTTCAATCTTTCAATTTTGTAGCAAAGGGAAGGCCAGTGATGTGGGGTGTCTCCATTCGGCATGAACTTGGTTACCATGGATTTGAGATTCCATATCACCTGATGGTTCATGACATTGTGATGAAACTTCCTTTGTGTGCCATATCTACATGAGTTCCTTTGTTTCCAGATTTCCCAGCAAATAAGAGTTGGAGCAGCTTGTAGAACCAAGCCATGAATTTTATTCTTTGTTTTTGCGTCCCACCAATTCTTGAAGATTGCCGCAATAGGAGCATTTGGATGAATAATTCCCAAGGGGTTGCCAATATTCTTCCAAATGTACTTTGCAGCTTCACTTTCCACGAAGACATGTTGCATGGATTCTACCTGTGGGACACTACAGCAAGAACATCTCGAAGCAATATTAGTACAAACTTGCTAATCGTGTTGTCAAAAGGAAGTTTTCTTTTCATAATTCTCCAAGTTAAAAAGGACATTTTGAAAGGGATTGCCTGATGCCAAATATTGTTTAAAAAATTGTTTTTTGGTTTTTTTTGTCTAATTAATTGCCACGCTGACTTATTAGAGAAAATTCCATCCTCCGACAAGACCCAACTAGGGAAATCATCTTCTGCATCATTACTAATATCAATTTTACAAATAAAATCAGAGATGTGAGAAGGAAGAACCTGGTTTAACCTGTTGATGTCCCATTGCCCGTTTGTTACGAATTCCTTTACGTGAGTTTTGGCCGATTTCCTGATACCTTGGACCTGGTGAGCCAGTGGAACTTCTCCCATCCAATTATCCCACCAGAATCTTGAGGAGCCATTTTGAATGCTCCATTTGATGTGAGATTCCACCTTTTGCCTGGTCTTTAGCATGTTTTTCCAACTATGAGAGTCAGCCGAAATCATGGATTTACTTACCGGATGAGATCTTGCGCAGTATTTGGCCCTGAGAAAGGTGGCCCATAGAGAGTTCTGTGTTCTAAACCTCCACCATCTTTTAATATTAAAAGTATCAATAACATCTTGCATCTTCCTGATTCCAATGCCACCTTCATCTTTGGGAAGACACATATTATGCCAAGAACTCCAATGGTACTTGTTTGATCCATCTGTCGACCCCCAAAAGAAGTTTGCAAAATGTTTTTCCATGAGATTAATAGTGCCTTTGGGAGGACTCATGGCAGACAGTGTGTAAGTGGGGAGGGATTGTAGTATATGCTTGATAAGTGTGATTTTTCCCCAGGAGAAAGAATTTTGCTTTGCCATCCATTGATCCTTCTAACAATCTTTGCTAACATTTCATCAAATAGGACAGTATTTTTCCTTCCATGATAGATTGGACAACCCAGATAATTGAAAGGAAACTTTTTATCCATGAACCCTGAAGCTTGCCTAATTCTATTGATCCTGGAAGCCGGGTGTTTGGAGAGGTGATGAAATAACTCTTGTCATTATTGACTTTTTGCCCTGAAGCCTTTTCATACCTCCTAATTTATTTCTTGATAAGCTTGATGGATTTCTTGTTACCCCCGCCGAATATGACTATGTCATCGGCATATGCAAGGTGATTGATTTTTGGTCCCCTGTTATTCATGCTGAAAGGAGTAAAGTTATCACAACCGATGAGATTATTCAAGGACCTGGTTAGCACTTCAGCACTAATAATGAACAAAGAGGGAGACAGAGGATCTCCTTGTTTCAAGCCTTGAGAAGAGGTAAAGAAGCCTTTTCTATTGCCATTAATAATAATAGAGTACCAGACTTCATTAACCAGACCCCAAATGATGTCAATCCATTCCTCAAAGAAGCCAAATTTTCGCAAAACTGACATGATAAAGCTCCATGACATTCTATCATATGCTTTCTCCATGTCCAATTTGATAATAACATTTCCCCCGCAATTTTGATTCTTGATGTTATGATTGATCTCCTGAGCTAGCGAAATGTTTTCTGTAATGGATCTTCCTTTGACAAACCCACTTTGGTTCTCAAAAATGATTTTATGAAGCATAGGATTTAGCCTTCTCGAAAGAATTTTGGATATGATCTTGGCTGTGAAATTGCTTAGACTGATGGGTCTAAGTTCTGAGAAGTTGTTGGGAGATTCTACTTTGGGAAGTAGAACCAGGCAAGTGTGAGAGAAAAACTTGGTTAGTCTCTTTCCATTGAAAATTTCTTGCACAAAGTTAGTGATATCTTCTTTGATTATATCCCAACATTTCTGAAAGAAGGTGCCGTTAAAGCCATCTGGACCAGCTGCACTATTAGCTCCCATTTCGAAAACAACATCCTTGATTTCCTCTGTGTTAGGTATGGAAGTCAGGGCAATGTTGTCTTCTTCAGTAATGGTCCTAGGGATGCATTCTAGTATATCATTATCGATGAATTGATGCTTGATGTTGTATCTCTTGTGGAAGTGTCTAATGGCAGCCTTTGCAATATTATCTTCACCTTCCACCCATCTCTCTTTATGATCTTTGATCTTGTGAATTTGTAGCCTCCTTCTTCTTTCTCTGATTAGGCTATGGAAATACTTGGTATTTGAATCACCTTCTTCAAACCACTTGATATTTGCTTTCTGTTTAAGAATAGAGTCTTGCATGGTCATCCATTTGATGTATTCGGCTTGCCCTCGATTAAGCTCTTCCCTAGATAGGTTAGTATTATTTTGGAGATCAAGTTCCTCAAGGGCATTCATTTTGGCTTCCCAGTGATGAACATGCTCATATACATTTCTAATCTCCTCATTCGACTATTGTGTAAGCCTTTTGCTAAGCTTTTTAAGCTTCTGTTGAACTATCCACAAGGCATTTCCACTAATATAGGATTTCCACACATCTTCTACCAAGTTCATGAAGGAAGGGCTCTGTCCAGAAATCCAAGAATTTGAAGTACTTAATACTACTGTTGTTTGTGTTGTAGCATTTTAGAAGTAGAGGTCTATGATCAGAACCAGTTCTAGGAAGATGCTTGACAACATTGTTCTGCATAATTTGACACCACAAGTCATTAACAAAGACTCTATCAAGCCTCTTCCAGATTCTTCTTCTAGCTTCCCAATTATTGCACCAAGTGAATAGGCCCAACATAACCCAAACCCTTAACTTCACAATTGTCCATACACGAGCTGAAATCCAAACTCTTATACATTCTGTGAGGTCGACCACCTTGTTTCTCTGCCGGATCCATAATAACATTGAATTCACCTCCAATGCACCATGGGCCATCAATCATCATGTGTGTGTTTTCCAAGCTACACCAAAGGTCTTGTCTTTCATTAGCAGTACATTTTGCATATACAGCAGTTAGGAACATACTCTTGGCATCCACCCTATTCTGAATTTTGATAGTAATCTGTTGATCATCCACAGTAATCACACTTGACTGAAAGTTTTCAGACCACATGAGCCAAATTTGCCCATTGGTGTTAGATATACAGTGCTTGAGCCGAAGGAATTTCATGTATTTGTCGATTTTGTTCATACTAACAAAAGGTTCCATGAGAGCTATTAAATAAACTTTGTTGATATTAATAAGTTTTTTCAGTCTAGGCATTGCCTTTTTTGTGTTAACACCTCTAATGTTCCAAAAAATGACACTAATCATGGAATAAAGAGGTAAATTAGTTTGTTCTACCTCCGTGAGGAGGTGTATTGTTCTTTTGTTTTTTCTTCTGTTCCTTCTTTTTGTTCTACTTTTTGCGTCTGTTTACTGGAGAGAATTCTTCTCCATTGTCCTGGTCCTGATCATTTTGCAGTTGGTCTTCTGCTATCTGAATAGTCACAGTGTTTGGTGCGGTGATCTCAAAATGATGTTGTTTCTCTTTTCTCATTGAGACTGAGTCGTTGTTACTTTGTTGTTGTACAAGATTCAGGTCTAGTTCAAGACATATTCCAGGCAAATTTTTGATTTCAGAAGGGATGCTGACTGACTCATTGACATATTCTTGCCATTCCAATTCCTTGGATGTCTTAACCATCGCATTGCTGGTATTCAATCCACTTTTCTCATTGTCAAAAGGGCCTTCCTTCATGATGTCATTGGTGTACCTTTCCTTTCCGGTTTCATCGCTGTTCAGCCCCTCAGTAGATTTAATTTTGCTGCTGCTAACTTGGAGGATCTCTTCATTAGGCACCAAAACAGTCTTGTTCTTTGGGCTACTGAAATTTTTGACATGTTTGAAAGCAACTTTGGACCTCTTTTTCGGAATTTTCTTTTGTCTTCTAACCTTGTTCCACTTTGTAGTTCTACTCTTGATGCTTTGTTGCCTTGGAAATTCATCATCTGTGTCTTGATCTGTGTCTTGATTCTTGACAGTATCAACTAGCACTTGGGCAGTGTTTTGATCAGCCTTGGTGTTAGTATCAGGCTTATTAGGCACCTGTTCCTTCTGAATTCTGTTTTTCCCCTGTTTTATCTGGGACTGCTGTGGTTCAGTGGAACTACCAGCCACCCCTGTTGCACCCTCTTTTGTCTTAATTTCTGAATTCTGTTTTTCCCCTGTTTCAGTTTCTTCTCTTCTTTCTTTGTTCACTTCATCTGCTTGATCTTTCTTTTCCAGCTCTCTTTTCCTCTCTAAAACTCTGCAATTCATCATATTGTGACCAAGTTTTCGACAATGTTTACAATATTTAGGAACCCCTTCATATTCCAGTTTTTGTATGAAACCTTTTTGGGGAGCATTCTCGAATACCTGCCCGACATAAACAGCATCAGGTTGTTGTTCAAGTAAATCAATCTCAATTCGAACCTTCGCCATCCTAGGTCTAGTTTTACCACGCGTAGCTAGGTCCATTTCCAATGGCGTTCCAACGACGCTGACAACTTGCTTAACATATTGCCATGTGTGCATATGAAAGGGAAGACCGGGTAATAACACCCATACCGGTGCTAATGGGAGGTCCTCCTGTGGTTTAAAGTCCGGCGACCACCTCTGAAGCCACATTTGTTGTCCTTCTATTTCAATTACTCGTTTGAACCAGACCACATTAAAATCATCTTCATTTGTAAAATCCAGAAAAACATTAAAGTTGTCATAAACCCCAATTTTCACATTACCTTTGATGGAGATTATCTCTTTGAATTTTGACCTAATCCGGTCAATTTGGGGCCCAGGTTTAAGGAATCTACCAACAATTGTGTGTTTACATTCTTCAGCCATAATTCCATAGTAGTCTGACGCCTTGAATAAGACAGCCGGCATCCCATTGTGCGTCGAATGAGTTGTTGTTACAGAGTTCCTTGCTTGCTGATTTGGGGGTTGAAATTGTTTAGAGGCTGCGATTGTTTCAGCATATAAAATCTTCATGTCATCTGTATCAGTGGTTTGTTTTGTAGGTTGGTTTGTGGTGTTTTGTTCACCCAGACGCGCCGGAGGGGCACCGTCCGGTGGGTTCATTTCAGTGGCGTGTGGGCCAACCCGTTGGGGATTAGCCGTTATCAGACCGTTGCCTTAGAGAGAAGTGAGAGAGAAATTTTTAGAGAGAGACACCTAGGTTTAAATTTTTTTTGGTTTTATCCTCGTTGAGAATTATTTATAATTATTTGTTTGCTCTATTCATTTGTAACTCACTAATATANTGCTCATCAAAGTAATTGTCAAAACATTGATGAAGTAAATTGCAAGAAAATAGGTTTTGGAAAGCCGTTGTTGAATAGATTTAGGAAACAAAGATTTTATTTTTAAGTTTTCAGAAGCGCACCCTAATTAATTACTTGGCGAATAATTAACCCATTATGGAAACAAACAAAAATAAAGGCATAATCCATATATTAGTAGGATTCTAAATTACTTAGGGCATGCATTATATATACAAGTAAGAACGTCTCTAATGATCATATTAAGTAGCTAGAGAAGTTGTCGTCTACTTTTATTAATAGTGTTAAGGTTACGTACTAAAGATCAGAAAACACAATACTCAAAATTATAACCAACAATGAAAAATAAGGAGAGGAAGGGGAAAAACTTCGCTCTGTAAAAGTTGAACAGCCGCGCTGCAGGCTGCGCCGCACCACGCGGCGCGGTAGTGCATTTTAGCTGTAGCTTCATATTTTCAAGTCAGTCACCATTTTACACTGCTGCGCCGCGCCTTGCGGCGCCCCATGCGGCGCGGTAGTGTAATTTTCTCAGAGTGAACTTATTTCGTCCACTATTAACATCCAAACTTGGTACACGACCTCCGAGCACGATCCCGACTTAATGTATTGGGCTTTTACTCAGACTTCAAAGCTCCAAATTGATCAATTTAGCTCCAAATTAACTTTTGAGCTCAGGATCACTTCCTGCAAGGCATAAAACACGTACTAAGTGCAATTCACTATTATTTCAACTCAAATGCACGTAAAAATGCAGTCATTGGAATGTAATACTACGGCTAAAATACGGGTTTCTAGCCTAACATCAACACCCCACACTTAAACCATTGCTCGTCCTCGAGCAATCAAACTTCACTTTATATAGACACGACCTTTTTAAACAACTCTCCTAATTCATTATGCCAAGAACATTTAAAATAGATTAAGCACAAAAGCGTAACATCTTAACCTCAAGATTTGACTCACAAGTACCAAGCATTATCACTCGCCCACTTACTCTAACATAGAGGTCAATGACATTACCTTTCCTTCATGAATCAAGTGCCCGCACACAACCAATGAGAGTAGTCCCACACAATAAAATTTAAGAACATTTAGGAACACAAGATAGAAAGAGTTCACTCACTCTCAGAAATAACATTCATATGCCACAAAAGATGCACGATAGGCTTGCCCGTAGTGTACTACTCTACTAATCGAGCTCATTCAGTCTAGGATCAAGTAGGACTTTATTTGGTTGTAATGTAGGCTACGGGACGGGTATGATACATTTAGATACAAGAGTGACTACCCCTCCCTAAGCACTTTAATACATACACTTTAACATTTAAAATCCCATACTTATGTCAAACTATAACTCCACCTTCACATCAATATATATTAGCCGCCCACTTCTTTAAACACAATTATATCAAGAGTCACCACTATTACAGAATATTTTCACAGCAATACAATTATTATTTTTTTCTTTTCAATTCATGTGACAATTACTTTTTCAAAACAATGCACCTTTCTCCTTATTTCATTAGTTTCACTCAAAAGCTAAAGCAACCACCCCACACTTTAACTTTTACATAGTTCATAATAATTCAAGTGCTCATGAGAGGTTACAATGGTTTAAATAGATGGTTAATTCAAACAAATGGGTAAGGCTTGTATGGTTGCCAAAGAAACAGGATTACAGGCTCAAAGGTTTTTATTTCACGTTTTTTCCCTTTTTGGTTTCGGTTGTTTCCGAGTCATTCTTTGAGAAATCAGCAAAGTCAAAGGTAATTTCTGTACATAAACTCTTTGGTGTTTTTATGGCTAATTCTGGCAAAATATTGTGGCTGACACTTTGGTAGTTGTGCGACATCTTCATTGATGTGATTTCGTCCAAAATGATTTTTTAGTATTTACAGTATGGACCACCTTCTATTCTATAAAATGATTGATAACTGCTAATCTCATATCGAACAAATATATATTTAAAAGCTGGATAACCCTTAAGCCGAACTGTTAAGCGTAAATATCCAAACGTTAGTATAACGACTATTAAAATCGAGTAACTTCGAATAATAAAATAAGCAAATATAGACCTTTTTAAAAGTATGCTTTAGTTGATTGGTTTTGATAAATTTTGCCATAATAAAAAGAAGACAAGAATAACAAGTGACATAACAAAATACAAATATCTGTAGTTATTGGCCAAACACACCATAAAATCATACTTATTGGGAATCCGTAATAAAAAAGATGAAAGAAGCTAGCATTTCAATTTCCCATATATTATGTAAAATAGATTGACTCACGAGTGGTTTTATTCTCGTTGAGAATTATTTATACTTATTTGTTTGCTCTATTCATTTGTAACTCACTAAATATTCATGTTTCTTCGCTACACACACATATATTGACTTTTTTAATTACATAATTAACAATTGAAAATTTTCCCTAAATTATATGAAAAGAATACTCAGGTGCAACTTCTAAAAAATCATTTTGTTTGCAAAATATGCATATTCAAGAAGTTTAATAGGAGTATTTTTAAATTTAGAATTTCAATTTACTCATTTTCGAATTTAGACTGATTTTTATTTTTTAATTTCTAGTGGGGCACAACAGAAGTGTAGTTAGTTACCATGAGAAGTTACGTGCTCATCAAAGTAATTGTCAAAACTTTGATGAAGTAAATTGCAAGAAAATAGGTTTTGAATAGATTTGGGAAACAAAGGTTTTATTTTTAAGTTTTCATAAGTGCACCCTAATTAATTACTTGGCGAATAATTAACCCATTATGGAAACAGACTAAAATGAAGGCATAATCCATATATTATTAGGATTCTAAATTACTTAGGGCATGCATTATATATACAAGTAAGAACGTCTCTAATGATCATATTAAGTCGCTAGAGAAGCTGTCGTCTACTTTTATTAATAGTGTTAGGGTTACGTACTAAAGATCAGAAAGAACGTCTCTATGCATCATTCCTCCTTGATTTATTCTCATTGCTAGGGTTAAGAATAGGTTTATATAGCTAGGGTGAAAATAGACAGAGAAGGAAAAGTTATCAAGAATCAAGAATGTATTGGAAAAAGCTGAAAGCGTTGGGTGCTGGTTCTTATGGAACTGTGTTTCTTGCCGCACCAAAAGATGGTTCGTCTACTTTTGTGGCAGTGAAATCTGCAGAAGTGAAGGATTCGTCTTCGCTTTCAATGGAAGGAAGAATACTGGATGCGCTGAAAGGGTCGCCATACGTAGTTCAGTGCTTTGGAGAAGATGTAAGTGTCGAAAACGGTAAACATACTTATAACCTCTTGCTCGAATATGCCGTTGGTGGCACTTTGCACGATTTGATTAATATCTACTCTAAAGCTAACACGATGGTTGAAGAATCAGAGGTTGCATACTATGCTTTTCAGCTTTTGACTGGGATTTCTCATGTTCATCGTAAGGGTTTCATTCACTGCGATCTGAAACCGAGTAATATACTTGTTTTTCCTACTGTTGATGACGAATATGATAGTATTGTGGATGTGCGCCTGAAGTTGGCTGATTTTGGGGTGTCTTTGAGAACGGTAAAAAACGAAACACATACCTACTGGGATAGAGGCTCCAACAAGTGTTGTCATCATAGAGGGTCTCTGCTTTATGCTTCCCCAGAATCTGTAGCTCATGGGATTCATGGTAAAGCCGTTGATATTTGGGCGCTTGGTTGCATTGTTGTAGAGATGATCACAGGGAGACGGTTATGGTCGTGCCATAAAAATAGTGACGATTTGGACTTCAAGATTACACATGAAGAACCTGTGATTCCGAGTAACGTTTCTAATATATGCAGGGAGTTCCTGGTCAAGTGTTTTGAAAAAGATCATAATTGGAGATAGACTGCAGATATGCTGCTTAATTATCCATTCATTAAGAATGCTATGTCCGGTAAATATCATCCAGAAGATCATGAGCTGATCAGTAATAAAGTTATCATTAACCCTTTTAGTCATTGCGAAAGCTGGGTTTCTAAGCGGCATTTGTTTTCAACGTGCTTTCATTTGCCTTCAAGTGATAACTTGAGATCAAGATATGCTATTTTTCCAGCAGAGAATGCACAATGTCGAATTACAGAAGCTCCTAATTACTCTCTTCCTCTGTGTTAGAAGAAGACCAGCTTGAAGTTGGAATAATCTCAAATCCGTCATGTAGGGAGCTAATATGCAACAGTGTAATTTCTCTTTCATGTAGAAGAACTAAGTAGGACACTGAGCATATGGTACTTGGCTTTTCTATTTTGGCATAAAAATTTGTAAATGTAGTTTTGTTGTTGATCTCATTAAAGCAATTAATGAGAATTATTTTGACGCAGCGTGTAATCCTGTGTTATTTGAACCATCTGTATAATTCATAAACTTCTTCTAAATTTTTTTATTAGTACAAATAATATTAATATGTAANACTCAGTCATGTACCTCACTAGCGTTACCATCATCAACAAATAAGGGAACACATCTCACATCAAGTATCACAGCATATTAGCAAATAATAGAGACTGAGATAAACATGTAAAATAATTTCTATGACTGAGTACAAATATAGTGAGTATGAATAAAGCCTGAACATGATCTCTAACATGAAGGCAAACAAGTTCAACAACAAGTAAACACATAACTACAGATAATAGCCATTAGGCCTCACAGCCTCACGGGACGGACCAAGTCTCAATCCCTCACGTTGCACACCCAGACGCCCGTCACCTAGCGTGGGTATCACCACCAAACAATCACATGATATCAATTTCTCCGGGTTTATACCCTCAAAGCCAGAGTTAAAACTGTTACTTACCTCAACAGCGCAAAATTCTACTCCGTAATGCCCTCGTCCCTCGACTCGGTCTCCAAAAGCTTCGAATCTAACCATAATTAGAATACTACTATCAACATAGTCTAAAGAATTGAATTACACAATAAAAATAACAAAAACATGCCAAAAATCCGAAATCGGCCAAAACTCGGCCCCCGGGCCCATGTCTCGGAATCAGTCAAAAATGGCAGAATAATAATCCTCGTCCTCTCTCGAGTCTATCTATATAAAATTTGTCAAAATCGGACTCCGTTTGGTCCCTCAAATCCTCACTTAAAACTCTCCAATACTCAAACCCTAGCTCCCTCAATTTCACTTTGAAATCATCAATCAAATCCCAAAAACGAAGATGGATTCATAAATTATAATCAAAATCGAGTAGAGAACACTTACCCCAATCCATATGGTGAAAATCGCCTCCAAAATCGCCCAAATCCGAGCTCCCCAACTCAAAATATGACTGAATGAACAAACCCTAGTTTTGTATATTTTTCTACCAGCTATTCTGCCTCGTTTCTCGAGCCAAATCCCGAAACTCGTATTTTATTCCTCCAATGAATTCCTTGTGAAATTCCAGTCAAGTTAGGCTTTTGAATCACTCAATTTGACCTTTTAACGAATGAGATAGGTAGGTTTTAATATTTGCAAATAGTGCAGATTTTTAATTACGCTGCTAGTGGCAATTTCGTAATTAACCTGAAAAATCTGGCAACCTAAATCTTAGTAAAATGACCATAAAATCCTCATACGATGTCCAAATTCGATGATTCTTTTTGCTACAGGTCTGTAATTACAATACGGATCTAATTCTTCAATCAAAAAAGAAATCGGAGCTCATTTGTTCAATATGATATCATTTATGCTTGAAGAAACGGCGTCGAAACATAAGAAAAACGAGCGCAACACAACCCAAACCTATCCGAAACACACCCGAGGCCCTAGGGAGCTCAACCAATAATTCCAACAAGTCATATATCACTACCCGAACTTAGTCAAACCTCCGAAACACCCAAAACAACACCAAAATACCAAATCAACCTCGAATTCAAGCCTAAGAACTTCTAAACTTCCAACTTTCGCCAATTCAAGCCTAATTCTACCACGGACCTCCAAATTATATTCCGGACACACTCCTAAGTCTAAAATCACCCAACGAAGCTAATCGAATCATAAAAATCCAAATCCGAATTCTTTTACTCATAAATCAACTTCCGGTTGACTTTTCTAACTAAGAGACTAAGTGATCATTTCACTCCAAAACTACTCCGAACCCAAACCTACCAACTCGATACAACTCAACACAGCTGAAAAACATATAAATAAGCATAGATGGGGGAAATGTGGCTATAACTCTTAGAACGAAGGACCGGGTCGTTACATCCTCCCCCGCTTAAACAAACATTCGTCCTCGAACCAGTCTAACAACATACCTGGAGTCTCAAATAGGTGAAACCTTCAGCAATACCTTCTCGTCACATTCAAATCATATGAACTCATCTCGCGGTCACATCATACTCACCACATAGCCCTCAATCACGAATTCCACTAATAGGGACACCAACAGACATATAAACAAGTGCTCACACAATGGAAATTTTTGTACTCCAGCTACAGACAAAACCCGACCTCAAGTCCTCCAGACTGGCCCAACATCAACACACAAAATCAATCTCGCACCTCATCTAGGGAATCACAATCCGTCGATGCACAATTGATACCGAGCGCTCATGTGCGCATACGAATGCGTGGAAGGAATTCAAAGAGTTACACTTCAAGCTGAATCAATACCGCACGATAAGAATTCAAGAAGGTGAAGTTTTCCTAAAAGTTCTGCAGCCTCTCGAAGATAAGTACAGACGTCTCCGTACCGATCCGCAAGACTCTACTAAACCCGCTCATGACTCGTGAGACCTATGTAACCTAGGCTCTGATACCAACTTGTCACGACCCAAAATCTAACTGTGGTCGTGATGGCGCCTATCGTGTTATAAGGCAAGCCTATTCCCAAAATATTACTACTAGTTTGATTATAAGAATTTAATAAAATACTTCCAATAATTTAATTCCTGATGAACTAAACCAACTCTAAATATAAATAATATAAAATACGGAAAACGAGTCCCAAACATCGGGGTGTCACTAANTCTGAAACCGAGTAATATACTTGTTTTTCCTACTGTTGATGACGAATATGATAGTATTGTGGATGTGCGCCTGAAGTTGGCTGATTTTGGGGTGTCTTTGAGAACGGTAGAAAACGAAACACATACCTACTGGGATAGAGGCTCCAACAAGTATTGTCATCATAGAGGGACTCTGCTTTATGCTTCCCCAGAATCTGTAGCTCATGGGGTTCATGGTAAAGCCGTTGATATTTGGGCGCTTGGTTGCATTGTTGTAGAGATGATCACAGGGAGACGGTTATGGTCGTGCCATAAAAATAGTGACGATTTGGACTTCAAGATTACACATGAAGAACCTGTGATTCCGAGTAACGTTTCTAATATATGCAGGGAGTTCCTGGTCAAGTGTTTTGAAAAAGATCATAATTGGAGATAGACTGCAGATATGCTGCTTAATTATCCATTCATTAAGAATGCTATGTCCGGTAAATATCATCCAGAAGATCATGAGCTGATCAATAATAAAGTTATCATTAACCCTTTTAGTCATTGCGAAAGCTGGGTTTCTAAGCGGCATTTGTTTTCAACGTGCTTTCATTTGCCTTCAAGTGATAACTTCAGATCAAGATATGCTATTTTTCCAGCAGAGAATGCACAATGTCGAATGCACAATGTCGAACTACTGAGCATATGGTAGTTGGCTTTTCTATTTTAACATAAGAATTTGTAAACGTAGTTTTGTTGTTGATGCTCATTAAAGCAATTAATGTGAAACATTTTGATGTAGCAGTAATGTATTCCTGTGTTATTTGAACCACCTGTAGAAGCCATAAACTTCTTAGTTTTTTTATTTCTTCCGAGTCAGTTGTAATTCATATAATTAGTGCCAAAACTTATATTGTACAATGTTTTCTTCAGTTCTAGCTCTTCTTCTGTTCTCATTGTTTGAATTTCCCTAAGCTTGTTTGGATGGTTGTTAACTATTGTATTATATCATATTATGACTTTAAATACAATGTTTATTTTAATTGTTACTTAATTTTTATCGTATCGTATCGTTAAATCCGTCGTTACGCAATGATGAAAAGTATTACACTTTATGTAATGATATGATCTGTCACGACCCAACATCTAGCCATGGTCGTGATGGCGCCTATCGTGTTACAAGGAAAGCCTATTCCCAAAATTACTACTAATCTGATTATAAGAATTTAATAAAACATTTCCAATAATTTAATTCCTGATAAACTAAACCAGCTCTAAATATAAATAATATAAAATACGGAAACGAGTCTCAAACATCGGGGTGTCGCTAAGTCATGAGCGTCTAAAACTATGAACTAAGGGATATAACTGTCTAACCATCGATACAATCCAAAGAAGAAATACAGAAGGAGTAACAAGGTCCTGCGGACGCTGACAGCTACCTTGCAGTCTCCAATTAAAGCCGGTCTGAACTCAACGAATTCACCTGGATCTGCACATAAAGTGCAGGGTGTAATATGAGTACAACCACCTCAGTAGTAACAGAAATAACTAAGGAACTGAGCAGTAGTGACGAGCTGAGCAAAATAGTCCAATTATTTATTTTTCACAATTTTAAAAATAACAGGAATAAACAGGTAAATTCCATAACTCAGTAAATGCCACAAAGAAATTTAACAGATAAATGCAGCAACAGCAAAAGTAAATGCAACCTCACAACAATGTCACTCCATCACTCAGCACTTGCACTCAGCACTCAACACTCAACACTCAATACACTCAACACTCTGCGCTCACTGGGGTGTGTACAGACTCCGGAAGGGCTCCCAAAGCCCAAGCGCTAAGCACGGACAACTCACGTGCTACCATATCAATACCTGGATCCGCACGGTCAACTCACGTGCTAAGCGGACAACTCACGCGCT